AAAGAAAAGAAAAGAAAAGAAAAGAAAAGAAAAGAAAAGAAAAGAAAAGAAAAGAAAATAAAAGAAAAGAAAAGAAAAGAAAAGAAAAGAAAAGAAAAGAAAAGAAAATAAAAGAAAAGAAAAGAAAAGAAAAGAAAAGTAAGTATCAAACGAAACCAAATCAAAACCAAATCAAAACCCAATCAAAAGCAAATCAAATTTTAATCAAAACCAAATCTAATTTATTTCAAATCCATATCAAAATCCAACGAAGTACAAATCAAAACCGATTCAAATTTAAATCAAATACAAACTCAAATCCAAGTCAGACCCAAATCAAATCCTAATCAAATCGGATAATGAAAGTTATCTAAAAAAATTTAAGCGACTAAGTTATTTGCACACTTTATTTGTTGTTAGTTAACATTGTTTACATATACTTTAAATTAAGTTTTTAGCTATACCGAAAAATCAAACTAGAGTAAAATTTTTTGTTTGATATTGGAGAAAAGTTTTTGTATTATACAAAGTAACGCACAATGCTAAACAGAACGTGTGTAATTTTTGGAAATTGGTGTGTTTTTTTTTTGTGGCATGACGACACTGCCCATTATATTTATTGTAATTTAACATACATAATTCAAGTCCTTAGCTATGCCGAAAAATTTAACAGTAGTAAAATTTTTTGTTTGATATTTGAGGATAAGTTTGGAATTTTACAAAGAAATTTTTGCAAATGGGTGTGTTGTTTATGGTATGGTAACACTGTTTTCGCACGAAGTTGCCGCATTAAAATCGTGTGTGAATATTTGTAAATGTAATGAGAAAAGCGCTTGCGCAGGATTTTCCCTGTACATAGCTGGGTATGTACATGGGTGTATATATTAAAGTTCTACTCCTCTTTTATTCTATTTTTTCTTTTATCATTCACTTTGCGCTTGCTAGCATTTCATTGAAAGCAGAAAACTGTTCGTTAATCTATAATCATACTTCTTTCTTTTCATTGCGTAGTGCAGTTGCAACATATGAAGCACACACATACGTACAATATCTAAATACCTGCGAGATACTTTTTTAATTTATTATATAATAAAAAATGTTTCACAAACGTGTATTTGTAGATATGTATAAGTGTTTTTTAAACAAGTAAGGCAAAGCGGCATACATATTAAAAAATTGCAAACTTTTCACTAGACACTTTACGTATTTTGAAAGAATTAAAAAAAATATATATATACGCCGCAACGGATGATTAAGAAATTTCACGAATTTAGCACCTGGAAATATGCTAATATATTTGATTTATCAACTTAACTTATGCCAACACAATAGCATCGGTTGATATTCTTTTACATGGATATTGCTCACTGTCTGGTCATTGACTAGCGCGACCTAGCTTTAGATGTACCAAGCCTATGACTTGCTGTACTACATTAGCCTAGTGATAGTTATTTTACTCCCCTTCAATTGTTGCCCGACTGACGACGAACACACACATACTCACATATCAATGCTTCTTCAATGCTTCCGTGTACACATATAACCAAGACAGTTTTTATTGTAGATTTTCGTGTGTATTAATTCATTAATCATTGTGTGGGTCCACAACAAAAATTCATTCATTTATTCATTCGTTGGCGGTTAAGCTACGAAGTGTCAGTCATGTATTTTAGTTGGCATACAATTATTAAATAGCAGCCCATGAAGAAATAAAAGGAAATTATTCCATATATATATATTAGCTAACTTTCAACGGAACAAATGGTTGGCGCTTAATTTAAAGTGAAAAATTTTAAAGCAACTCTTTTTCGATAAGCTGAGCTGTTCTGAAAGTCTTTCCGAACGGATTTCGCATCGATTTGGCTTTGCGACTCAGAAATATTGTTGTTGTTTATTTTTCATTTCCGCAATAGTAACAGTCATAAAAAACTAAGCTACTAACTTTATCAAAAATTGGAATTAATCTTCAAAGATTGAGTGAAAATACCGTCTATCGATGGGTCGGGAGATTTCGATTGAAATGATGAAAAAAATATACAACATAAGCTTGAATCACCAATAATGGTATACATTTTCTGATAATTGAATAGCTTGTGACTGTATAATTAACCATTTCAACCGTAAAATTGAGCCCGTAACATTTTTAACTTTTCGGTAATAATTATTAGATACAATGCTTTAATAACATCGTTTTTAAAATAATAATAAAAACTCTTTAATATTACGGTTTATTTGATTGATAATTTCTAATAAACGCGTGACAAATTTTTTAAAATAAATTTAAATCCCAAGCTCGGGGTAATCTCGGTCTTACTGCTCAAGGAAATTTTAAAATAATCGCTCCCCTTCTTTTATTTTAACACATTCTCTTTGTTCGTTTTATCTGCTTTCACATGATAGTAATAAAAAAAAAGAAATAAATATATGCAATTTGCAGTTTTATTATATGTTTTTGTGTAATGATTTTTATGTTTTCTATACAATTTTGAATTCGAATCTTATAAATATGTTTATGTTTGTGGCACAGGCTGTGTCCCATAACTACACTCCATACATCCGTATTAGTTTCATTATGAGGCTATAGAGAAGAAATTTGTTGATAATATCTTTTACAATGCTATGCTTATGTTTATAATTTTTTGTTTCTTGTTATTTTGTATTAGGCCAAGTCATGCGGCGAAATACTCGCTTCAATAAATAATATAATTAGAAGCTACTTTGGAAGGCGATGTCTCACAAAATGTATTATCTTTAAAGAAATTCGGACCTGCCTTGGTACCTTTTTGAAATCAATTTTAACAGAAAAAGTTATATATTAAATGCTTTTTCCATTTATTAATGTTTTGGATTATTTGGAAATTTAGCTTAATGAGCCTGTCTCAGACCATATGTTTTTGGAATAGCGAAGAAGTTACAACAACATTTTGGACGGTATAAGTTATAGCTACCATTTCGGAAACCCCCAGGCTCCTCAGACTTCTTTTTCCAGACACGTTTTTCACGTTTCGCTTCTACCTAAATATCCACGATTAAGTGCCCACAAGTTTACAGCTACAGAATAGTGAATAGGGAAAAAGTGAAAAACAGCAATAAGCGAAAGCGGCCCACATGTAGCTTAACGGAATAACCGTTACGAACACAATTTGAACAAGGCTGTCTAGAAAAAGATATCTGATGAGAAAACGTGGTGGTTTCAGAAAAATCAGCATTACTATTCCAGCGCACTAAAATGCTTTGAATCTCTCAATTTAATACATTTTAAAAAGATTAACCAGCAGGTAATAAAAGTAACGGTAAAAGTTTCAGAATTTAAAAAGACAGCGAAATGCTAATAAGATATTATATTAGTTTTTTTCTCGTAAGAGCGCTTAACCTTTTTCCATAGAAAATTCATACAACTAGCAAAGTTAATAGCATACAACAAACTGTCTTGCCAAATAATATTGTATTCCATTTATTCGAATTTGAATTTCACTTCCTTAATACTTACAAGTATTTCTGGGCATGTATTGCACAGCCGATGTTTCAAAAAAATACTAAATTTTCGTGTTTTTTCTACAGAGGTCAATGTTTGAACTTTTACGTTCAAATCATTTTCAAACGGCGTATTCGAACTGTAATTGAAAACTGTGTATAGAGCATCCACTTTCTTGCAACCAGTCGCATTGTGTGCTCCGTTTTCATTAGAATTTGATTTGATAGGCTTACGATTATTATAAAATCGTTTGAAAAACTGAAACATTTTATATGTTATTTATTGAGCATATACAAATATATTTATGTATATTGTAAGATGTTTTCAGCAACTTGAGCACTGTGACTGCTTTGTAACCTATTTAAACCATCTGAATAATATTCTCTCATTGTGCAATAGAACCAGCAACAGTTTATAATCTTATGTTTGCAAATTCGTAATACGCGAATGTGCTTTTAGCCAGTATCTAATGTATCTACATTAGTTAAAACACCTCACCATCGCTTAAATATATAGATAAATGCTTGTTTGTTTACTTGTGTAGGGTTAAGAAAATTTTATCAGACAAAATTGAGCTACGTGTACAAATTAAGGTTATCGCCATTGTAGCCGCGGTATACGGTCCCATAACCACTTATTGCTGTGTTTATTCGCAGCAGGTTGTAACAGAGACGTGAAAGTTGAAAAAATAATAAATATAAAAACAAAGTCTTTATAACATTCATGAAAATCAAAATTCGATTTTGATGACTTTCATTATCAATATTTATTTGAATTTACGTGAGTGGAATACCAAATTTCACGCTTTTAGATGCTCTTTTGGCGAATTTCTGATCTAAAGCCTCACATCAGAAAAGCCATATCAGATGGGGACTTTATGAAATAGTATTCTGCTTTCGACGATTTTCACGGCCAACATTCAAATCATTATTTGTTTGTAGAGTACCAAAAGCCATAATCTTAGATATTCTTTCAACGGGCTTTTGACCCAAAACTTTATAGTAGAGCAAATCGGCTGTATGGGGCTATATGGTATAGTCCTACGAATTTGTGGATACGAGTATGCTCGTACAATGTAAAACTTTTGTGATCTTTGATAACATTTTGTCTTAGTTTTGGCAAAAGCCTCATATGTAGTCGTCCAATTACGATTTTCAGTACCAATGTGTAATTCGTTATGTAAATTCATTATAATAACAAATTTCTCGCGCTTGAATGCGATTTTAACATATTTTTGACCAATAATCTCAAATCTGTAAAATTGGTCCCACGTAGGTCTGTTATATTTGTCCGATCTGGACAGATCCGTGAATTGATTGTTTAAATGAAAAATTGCAACTGTTTTGCCAATTTTTATTGAAATATCTCAAACAGAGAGTTCGCGTGCAAACAAACGGAAAAACGGATATAAGTCAACTAAGCTACAATATTTAGTTATCCTGATCATATCGGATACTTCGAACCAAAGTTAGTACACCATTTCATGTAACTGAAAGTCATAACTAAAATCTCCTGCATGTAGTTTCAAACATGTAGATGTTTATGAAACTTGGATAAAAAATTTCAAACGCAAATATTGGGTTGAACCAGAAGAAATCGGCGATTTTTCATACAGACGGCGTTGAAAATTATTTTGAACAACTTTTGACCATTAAATTGTATTTTTATTCTGACAGTTATAAGCTGTCGCTTTAAGCTTGCTTTAGAAAAAAGTACGTGTAACTATGTTTATTTGTTTGTTTGGCATCAATTTTAATATGGAGCCCACAAAAGAACATTTTCGCCATTTTCAGGTGAAACACAGTGTTACAGATTTTTCCCTAAAAAATAAGCCACGCTCAGGTCGACCAAATGAAGTTGAATGGAGAGGAGGTAAGTATACCAAAATATACCGTTCCGAATTAAATACGACGTCTTGGACTTGTCAAAAAAACTTGATATTTGGGTATCACATGAATTGATTATTTAACATGCCGCTTCAAAGCTTGTGATATGCACCTTAAACGCAATGAATATGATCCGTTTTTTAAGCAAACCGTAGCTGAAGATAAAAAATTTATTGCTTACAATTACATGAATTGAAAAAGAAAGAAAAGAGAGAGATGGCCAAAGCAAGATGAAGCGCCACACCACTTCAAAGGCTAATATTCTAAAAAAGAAGATTAGAAGGATGTGGTATATTTTGCGCTGTTTCCAAGAACTCCACAAATTAGAGAAGGAGCTGGACTGAAAATCGCTCCTGCGTTAAGAAAAGGACTATTATTTACTCGGCCAAGGGTAGTTGTGGCTTTCTTGTATTTTGCTTAGTTACTTGATATTATAATTGGTAGACGAAGGGAAGTGAAATGTATAGTATGATTATAAGTCTTAATAAAATTTCAACTAATACCTCTAAGTAAGCCAACCGCCCCTATTGTGATTGGCAATTATCTTCGCCCCGGCTAAATATCGGTGGCGATTTGAAGGACACTTTACAAGGTATGGTTGTAATTTAAAATACTTTTATAGAGAGTATGTACAGTAATCAAATTGGTGGAGCTGGCTTTAAAACAAAACGAACTAATCTCACTAACTAAGTCGATAACAATTTTTGTCGAAATTGCGGTTAAACCGCTCGGATTGTCCGGTGTTTCTCTTTATCTTCATAAAATCTTTCAAGTAAATCAGTAAGCCTACACTCTGCGCTTTCCCTCACGCTATGGTTAACAAGATTTTTAAAGAACTCCAGTTTATGCTTTCAGCTGGAGATAATACCATCGATGTATCATAGTAACTTTTTGGACGAAAGTTGAAAATTTGAAAATGTTCGAAAATTTTACTTTTAATTATTTTACGCAACAAATATTATGCGCTACTACAATGGCTGTCTCGAAAGTTCTACACACTACAATAACATAGAAGCTGCCTTGTCGCAGACTGCCTTCTTCGCAACGTTGCGAACGACCACTATGGCTATGTAAACTGACCTCAAGCAACAGTAAAAGCCCTATCAGGATCGGGAAAGACCTCTCAGAGCCGTTCGATACTAAACGAGGTTGCAGACAGGGTGATTTTTTATCGTGTGACATCTTTATTTTATAATTATATATTATTAAAAAATAATCAGAGCGGCAGAGCTGAATAGAGAAGGTACAATCTTCCATAAAAAGAGTGTACAGCTGCTGGCGTAAGCAGATGGCATTATTGGCCTCAACAACCGTGAGTTCTGCTTTCTCCGGACTGTATAATGAAAAGAAAGATATGCGTGTGGTAATGAACGAGGGCAAGATGAAATACGGATTGTCATTGCATTCGATACTCGGCTCCCATGTCGGTGTTGACAGTCATAACTTTGAAATCGTAGACAAGAATAATCCAGCTTAGAAAGTTTTCGATGCAGTACCCGCCGGCGGAAGCAGAGGAAGAGGAAGATCTCTACTCCTTTGGAACGACCAGGTAAAGAAGGATCTGGTTCTACTTGGTATCTCCAATTGGACAGTAAAGTAAGTAAGTATGACTAACATAGGATGTAGTGGAAGGCGGGCACAGTCACTTAGCGGTATTATCAAGAAGACGCATCATTAATTGATTAATATTTCATATAGAAAAAATGTTGTTTTTTACTTACATTTAACTGCATTATGATTTTGTTGTAAGCCCAATGCCAACGCCGTTTTGCTGTAACTTCTGGCTTCCGCATAATCTGCATATGTCCCGACACTACTTCTTCTGTTTCACCACGCATCAGCATTTTTTTTTTGGAAGCGACAATGGACAACGATGGCAATTTAGACATGATATCTTCATTCTCTGTCATCGATTCGTGGCTTGCCCTACCGTTATGATTCTGTTCATCCTTGCCGAGTAGTACGTTACTTACGCTCATATCATTTATTAAAATATCATCTTCATCCTCTTCCAAAATTATGCTATCTTGTTTTTTAATTTGATATTGATGCACCATAATTGAGGCCATATTAGCGGATGTACCTTTGACTAGGCTGCCTGTATTATCCGCGGGTGCAATCGATGTGGGCGGACGCACTGTATTCAAAGCACCATCTTCTATATTACTTTGTGACTCAATAAGTTCAACTGTTGGTTGTTTATTTGCCTTAGCTCCACTGGACTTTGCCCCAATAACACTACCACTCGAACTTTCATCTAGATAATTGCCACTGTCTTCACTCTGATAATTTTCCTCCAAATAAATATCGCAACCGTTATCATATTGATAATGGTTTTGTTGTTCTTGCTGATTGTTTTGTAAAAGCTTGTACTGTTGCCGCAGGTGTTTTTGCTGTAGCTGTTGTATATTAAATATTTCTTCTTCTTTTTCCAAATATTTGTACTCATCCTCTTCATTGAAATAATCCTCCTGATAGTCATAACCACCATTCATATGCTCATAATAACTATTGTCAGCCAAAGACTGCTGATCATGTTTGGTCAACTTTTGCTGCACATCAGGCGGTAGCGCATGCAACTGGGAATCTATGTAGTAATTAGCATGCTCACTATCGATCTCGTAATTCGGCTCTAGCTGCTGAGAGCATTGCTGTTTTGGATTCAGCTTATTGCCATTATGACCTTCAGCGATGTTAAGGTTTAATTCACCGTCATCATGGTAATCAATAACCTCAATATCACTTAAATCATTTTCATTTTTTTTATCAATGATTTCACCATCATTTTCATCGACGCCGCCATCGTTTTCTTCGATGCCGTCGCCGTTGCTCAACTGATGCACATTGGTGTCGCTTACATCGTCGATAATTAAATCTTCATCATAGACTTCCGTTGGCTGTTGTTTTATCAAAAAGCCGGGCTTACAAGTATTGATGGTGGGCAGCTTTTTACCGGCGGATCCAGCCGTTGGCACCGTCGGTAACAATTTACTGGTTTGCTGTTGGTTTCGCAACTGGCTTGGATTACTATTTAAATGGTAATTTGGATATTCTAATGTTGCAGCATCCGGTGAGGCTGTACACGTGAAAGTCGCATCCGTTCCTGCATTATTATTGTAATTATATAAATTTCTATTGACGAAATCAGCGCTAATTGCTGCGGTAGCTGAGTATTGGTTTGACACTGACTTTTGGTGCATTAGCATTGTTTGCTGCCTTTCTGGCTGCTGCTGCTGATGATGATGAAAGTTGTAATCGTTGTTCTCCGCAAGTGCAGCAGTTTCCGCTGCTGTTATTGTTGGAGATGTTGCTGCAGTCGTTGTTGCTGAAATAACCGCTGTGGGTGCCGCCTTCTGTTGTACGGCTGTGGTAGCCTGGTTGACAGCTTGTGTCGCGGATTGTACAGCAGCAGCTGCTTTGCCCAGAAAAGAACCAAACATACCACCGCCGGAAATTCCACCACTGCCACCACCACCAGTAGTGATTTTAGTTTCCACTGTTGTTGCTGTCGGCAGTGGCAGCATGTGAATACTTGTACAGATGTCGCCGGTGGTTAGACGTTGGCTCTGTGTCTGTGCGGTAACATTTGTGACAGTTGGCAACAGCGAAGATGTGGCTTCCTTCGTGAATGAAGATTCCCTTTCCACCTCTTGCTGCTGTTGTAGCTGTGACTTATGTTCATTGCTAAATCGTTGTCGCAAACGATAATATGTTGCTACCGTACTTTCATTTATCAAAGCTGTATTATTTGTCATACTATCGTCTGTGCCAACAAAACGCATACTATCATCGACTGTTCTCTGCTTAGCATAAGTTACGGAATGTTTATCAGCACCAGCCTGTAGTATATCTTCCTCGTAGCCTTTATTATAATCAGTGCACCCATACTCATTAATCAATATATCTTTGTCGGTCATCACATTGGTTGAATTGTAACCACCGCTATTATAGCAAGTATTTGTGTTATCACTTGTCAGCACTACATCTGTCTGTTGTATATATGTAATGTTGTTAACACTGCTAACACAATCGTGGCTATTGTCACGCATTATGTGTATAGCATTCAGCAGCATATCCTCAGATCGTATATTCATTTTTTGGTCAAAACCCGCGTTGTCGCTAATCTCATGTGATGTCATCTTCATATTGTCAATGTGGCTGTTCGTATACAATAGCTCACCGTATTGGTCCAAATGATGTTGAATTATGGTTACATTAGTATCGTAATTTCTATTACTGGTATTGCTGCTTGCTGCTGCTTCGCATGTAACGCTTGCTATCGGGTACTGCATTGCATTCGTTGGAACCGCAATGGCTTTTGCATTTGTTGCTGTTGCTGTTGGGTCCGTCATTTTTGCTCCCGTTGCAGTATCGCTGCTGCCTTTACCTGCCTTCACCACGTTGTTAGTTTGTTGCACTGCAACTGTAGCAGCGCCGGCTAGTAAGCCGCCAACGTTTGGCACATACTTCGATGCCAAACCGAAACCGAAACCACTCTTTTTCGATGAATGTTGTTGCTGTTCTTTTGTATTAGTTTCGCTTGTAGCGGCAATATTAACACCGTTTAACACGCCGTCTAGACCACCTTTCAATCCCTTCGAAATACCGCCGAACACGCTAGTAGCCTTACCGGCAACACTAAATGGAGCACCTATTGTTGTGGCGGCAGCTGATGTTTCTGTTGTTGTTGTAGTTTTTAATGCTGACATCGGACGATAATAACCGCCCTCAGCTGCGAGATTAACGCGGCTGATAGCTGTTGCACTAGGAGTAGTTCCTGATACGGTTAAAATACTAGACACTGCTGCCGCATAATTTACATTACTGTCAGAAATAACAGCTGTACTTTCTGTTGATGCATCAAACCCTTCAACAGCGGTAAACGGCGTTAACGTGGACCAGTCCACGCTAAAGCTATCATAAAAGTTGTCATCGAAAGCCCTGGCAATTGACTGTTCTGTTGCAGTTGTCAACACCGGCATTGTTGTCTTTGTAGATATAATATCTCTACATTTAGTTGCATCAACAATATTACCATCGCTGCTTACTACAGATGTTGTTATTGTAGAAGGCGTCAAAGTCGATAGAAACTCCATAATGCCAACGCCAACTATTGTTGCGGCTGTTGTTGGTGTCGCTATTGGAATAATAACGTCGGTTGCACCTTTATGGGTAGCATTGTCTCTTCTATTAAATTCTGGCATGCTTGTTACGTTTCCTATCCTTTCTTCACTTTTAATTGTAGATGGAGGTATTGATGTTGAGGCTGTTGTATCCTTTGAATGTAATGTATACCCGCTTATATTGAGATAATTATTATATTCACATGTTTCCAACGATAAGTCAAATGGATCCAAGTTGTCGTCACTAAAATTTGGTTTTGACATATCACAGTTTAAGAAATTCTTTATATAATTCTGTAATTCACTTTTGATATCAGTAGCACTATTGCTATTATAATCGTCTATCTTGTCGCCTCTTTCATCAGTTGTTTTTAACTTTTGATGTTGATACTTCGTCGTACATGTTGTTGATGCTATTGGTGTAGTAGCGTTAGCGAAAGTATCAGTTGAGCTATCAATAGTTGTTTTGAGCTGTGGCTCTATTTTTTTACTGCTTAAAGTGGCTGTGATGATACTACTGTCAGGATAAGATTCAATTGAAGTGTTTTGCGTCGCCGCAATTTTTGATACTGGCAACTCCATTGTGATTGCTGTTGTTGTCACCATGCTATTACTAGCGTTTAATGTTATCAGACTTGACAATGGCAATGAGACTGAGCTAATTATTGATGAAATGGAGATGGTTGTTGTTGTTGGCGTTGTTATTTTTGTTGATGTCGGAAGCATGAAATTATTACTACTACTATTGCCACAGTTATTTAGATATTCGGCAAGTATATTATAATCACTATTATCGTCCATCGTTTTCGTGCTGATATAATATACGCACTCTGATAGCTTTAAGTTTTCATTTGTTTCACTATCTAAGAGCTTATCACTTTTAAAAATATTATTACTAAAGCTGCTTATATCGTTGCTGCTAAATGTGGATGTTAAATTGGTTTTTGTTGATACTTTTGATGTAGGTAATGATATTGGGGTTGTTGTTGTTGCTGTTTTTATTTCTGCTGATGGCTTAAGTAGTACAGGTAATGCGGCAGGCGTATATGATATACTATTAAAGGTATACGATGGCGTGTTTATGGATGATGCTAATGAAGGGTTTGAGAAAGAGGACGTGGTGGTGGACGTGGTTGATATTGATTGCAAATAACTAGCGTACAAATTGACACCTAAACTACTGGTAGCATCAGTACAGACACAGTTGCTGACTGCAGGTATCATTTTTGGATATATTACTCTTGGCGTTGGCTGCGTTGTCGCTATTGTCATCGCAAATTTTGGCGTACCACAAATAATGCTATTATTTACATTAGCATTGCTGTTGATGCTAGTATTTTCATCAAACGCGGTACAATTGTTATTGTGGCTGTTGATGTGACTATCACCAAAAATATACGCGTTCTTCGTCGACGTCGGGGTCACAATTTCGTTACTAACTACCGTTGTGGGAAGTTCAGTAAGATTGCTGGTACCATTATCTGTTTCGTATGTTAAAAAAGGAACGTTGCTGAGAAATTTCGTTTTTGGTATTTCATACAGATTGCTTTTTGCTTTTGTTGTTGTAGTTGCTGTCGATATTGCTGTTTTAGTAGTTTTGGATTCTTTGTCTTCTTTACTGGGTTTCAACGAGATAAGATAATTATCAGCAGTTGTTTCGCTATTTGTTGTTGGTGTTGTTGTTGTTGTTGTTGTTGCTACTGTTGTTGTTGTTGTTGTTGCTGTTGTTGTTGTTGTTGATGATGTTATTATACCCGGTAAATACGCTAAATATGTAGGGGAACAAGATGTTGCAACATATGCTGATGACAATCTGGATGCCGTTGAAGCTGTGGATGCTGTTGGCTCTGATACTGATACTGGTGTTGAGCATGTTAATGAGGATGTCAGAACACTACTAAATGTGTCCATAGTTAATGATGGCAATATCAAGGTAGTTGATGTCGTTGTTGTTGAAGCTGATGCTTCTATTGATGTTTCTAACACATTGTGTGCCTTAATTGCATATGTTAGTGTATGAGGTTGCATAGCCTCTGGAACGCACACTGATGATACTGCTAAATTTGATATAAATTTTGTGTCTGTAGTTTTAGCACTTGCAACAGTTTTGTGATCTTCTACTGGTAACTTTGGCAGTTTCTTACTAATGTCATTAACTTTACCATTACTATTGCTAGGGATGTAGTGATGATAGTTGTTGTTGTGGCTGTTATTGTTGTTATGCCTATTGCTATCACTATAACTGTCATATTTTGGCGTTGGCAGACGCTTTGGCAATTTTCTAGATGTAGCCACCAGTGTGACGGATTTTGGGTAAGTTTGTGACTGCATGCTTGTGTCAGCTGATGAGTTCTTTTGTATATCATCATTTGTTGTTTTTTTTGTAGATATTGTGACCGGCGTTAAATGTGCGAAAACTTTATTGCTTGTTGTATTTGATATTGCTGTTAATATTGTTTTATCAGGCGTACACGTCCGTCCACACAACTTTGACACCGCCGAAACACTTTCATTGCCCAAAAATCCATATTCATCGACGTTTTTCGCACGGGTCGTCGTCGACATCACCTCATCGTTGTGCGGGGCACCTGAGGTGCTTAGCTCAGTGTTTCGTAAGTGCGGCTGTTTTCCATCGGAAATACGTTTCATTGGTACGCGCGTTTCGCCAGACGCTATCACTGAGGCAGTCGTCATTTCCATCATTATCGCATATTTACGTTGTTGCTGCAATTGTAGCTTTTGTGCTGCTCCTAACATATGCGACGAATTTTCACTACACAGTGATAAGCTACCACTATTAATACAATTGTTGTACGTATTATTATGTGAAACCCTATAATCCCCATATTCTAAAACATCAAGTGCTGGCTGACCCATGGATGTATGCGACCGCTGCCTGGTGGACGCTTGCGTCCTGTTGTTATATTTGTCATCATATGAAAGGTTTTCATAGCTTTTTCTTATTGTCGGATTATCGGAGATTATGTAATCGCTATTTGTTGCCGTTGCCATTGTCGGTATTGTTGTTTTTGTGGTTGATGATACTGTTTGCGCAGCCGGACGCATATTTTCACCTTGAAGTAATTGTGTTTGTATTATGTTATTATCATATATTTGGTTACGTTGAACTGGTGGCAGTAAACGTAATGATGCTGCAGCACCACCACCATGACCACTGTTAGGGCCGCCATAAACAAAATCACCGTTTATGAGCTCATTATGTTCCTCAGTAGTACAACGAACAGCACTGATATATGACGTTCCAAAAAAATCCGTCGCATTCGTTATGTGGTGCCCCACGACTGTGGGTGCTTGTATTTGGGTACTTTTACGATATTGTGGGGGACTAGCCTTCACTTCTGCTTCTAGTTGTAATACAGAAAATGTTGTTTGCGGTATGTTGGCATCAAAACATTGTGGCTGATGCATCTTTATATTATCATATGGTATTTCTGGCAACAATTTTGCACTGACGACAGGAGAATGTCGTTCACTAACATTTTCACCCCCGTTGTACAAGGGCTTGGAGTTTCGCTCACTGATGGTGTCATTAAATCCAGCAGCAGTATCGTCGCTTGTTGCAAATCTTTTATACATAGTATGGCCATAGCTGCCGACGGTAGCAAGTGAAACATTGTAGCTGTAAGGACTGACACCTACTCCCGCGGCATCACCATCAGTCTTACATGAATCAGTAGTATAACTTTTATACATTTGACTTCGATAATTAACATTATCATTGATGTTGTATCCGTTACTGATGTGAAATGTACAATTTTCGTTCCCCCCAGCGACCAGGGACGTTGAGGAGACTTTAGTAGAAGTTATATCGGATAAAATTAAATCATCGTTATTGCCCCAATACATATTTCTGTATGATCTGCTCATATCACTAGCATCCGCATTCACATCACCGACCATTTCAAAGGGCTGTTTCTGAACTGTAATAGTACAGTTAGAGATTCCATAAATATTTTTATTATCGTAGCTATCCTGCATGTCATTATGGTTTTCATATTGGTTATTTATACCTTTTCTATGAAAAGTGTTATTAATTTTTCGGCTATTGCTTGATAAGGCATCGTTTTCTCTGTTATAATAATGGCTGCTCTGAGAACGAGACTGAAATAAAACCAGGATATTGGAAAATTATTAAAAGTATTAGAAGTTTATTATATATGATTATTAAAATTGGATCGACAACCCTTCTACTCATCGTCACCTGCCATTTTAGAAATAAGTTAACCTGTTTTGGCGATAGTAACAATTGATCACTGTTGTCGCGCTGCCTTCTACATATTTGTTCTACTTGTAGCATATATGTATGCTGCAGTACCTGATTTTCCTTGTACCATCAAAGATTAAGTGTTCGATGCCATAACAAATTTAAATGAAAGAAAGTTCGAAAACTCAGCTAAAAGCATTTTCATAACAACTTATTGAACTTCAGCTGCTTTGTACACACATTTTCATTTTCACGACTAAAGCATAATTAAACCATATTATTGTAGCAGGTATAGTTATTCATAAAAAAAATAATCGAAATCGTTATAGCTACTTACTAAGTCCATTTAAAAAAAAATCTCGCCACTTTTTCACAATGCGTTCTAATTGGAGCAAAATGTTTAAGACTTGCTTTTTATCTGCTATGTAGTTTAAATTAATTAGAGAGATTTTTCGGTTAGTAATGTTAGTAAGAATTGGCAGTAACGAGTTGTTTTACTCTCCAAAAGAGTGCAATTAACTGAGATGTTCAAAACCCCATTTATAAAGTTTTTTTTTCTGCTTATAAGTATTTTAATCAAGTTTGCTGTTCGATGGCTTTTTAAATTATTAGGTTTATTCAAAATTATGGTATTGCTACAACGATGTAATTCTACATGCTTCTTAGACGTTAAGCCATAAAGATACCAGTGAATATGTTTTTATGATAGTCCTCCACCAAAACGGTTCAGGAAAAATTGGTAACGACCAGGACTAATATAAACTGCCCACCGGAATACTTTTAAAAATTACTGATGAATAAGCAAAAAAAGAATGGATTACTTAATTAGTACTCAACAGCCGCCGCCATAAGCAAGTGGGTAGCATTGCGTACTGCCATTCGGATAGTCAGGATTCAAGCCCTGGTTCGATCAACTTCCAAAAGTTATAGAAAATTTATTTAAGCAAAAAATTAAGTTACAATTTTTAATTGTGATCCCCCTCGGCAAGTGATGTCAACCCTTCCGAGTGTATTTCTGACATGAAATAAAAGCTCCTCATAATAAATCATCAACCGTTCGGTGGTGGCTTAGTATAAACTGTAAGTCCCTCCATTTATTAGAAATAAAATCAAGACGAACACTAGAAATTGGAGGAAGAGCTCGGCCGCAAATCGCTTCAGCGGTTACAATGGTTCAATTAAAATTAATATTACTACCATTATTACTCAATAGTATTTATTTTATACGTACCGTCATTTTATAAGCCTTCGCTGGACGCGTACATTACTTGTAAAATGTATTTATTGCAATTGTAATAGTTTATATTTTACATTTTACAATTATGTAAATGAATACATATATATAAATATAAATATTTGATAATAATGCAATCCTAATTTTCTGCTTTCCAAATATTGTTATTTTCCGAGCACACCAATACTCCGCTTATATCGCAGAATAAATAATTTGAGTTCTTTTATTTTAATTATTGTATTAAAATGCACTAGGTTATAAGGGTTCGTCCATGATTATCGTATGCGCATATCTGCGGATTAAATTAACTTTAGATGTATGATGTAGTTTTAAGGAAAATAGCTGCTGATGCTGTGTTAACTGCAAATGTAATTTTAATATGGTATAAGGAACGGTAATTAATTTTTTGGATTTTGCTCTAAAATTTTCCTTTTTAGATGCTGCAGTTAAGCGTCTTCTAATTTTTATCGTTTTAACTGCTAGCTGTTTTTTAAATTTGGCAACATTTCGTAACATAATTTTACGTAGCTCTTGTTCATCCACTGCTGTAAAGGAGTGCATTTTGAAGATGTTAAGTTAAATTCATTTAGAAAGTTTTTTCGCTAATTGGTTATCCTTTTGTCATTCTTTTCTCTTTTATTAAAGAGTTTCGTGAGTCCAGAATTGTCTTCATTCGCAAAGATATACTAATTTTCCAATTAATACACCACTGTTCCTCATTTCGGGCACTGCAAAAAAATTTACAGATTTGTAGGGATTAAACTGAATTTAAAAAAGTTTTACGAAAATATTTCTTTTTTTAATAATTTAATGCAACTATGTGACCGTTTTATGCTTTGTAAATGATGAATCTTATCTGATCTTAATTTGTCATTAACAGTTGTGTTTTCGGCATAAATGAATATACAGATTTTTCGATGGCTGTAAGTTAGCTCCTGTATAGTCGCTCAATGTTAAAACGGCTTGAAGAAAAGCATTCTTCAATTTTTAACTTAATTATAATATTGAAATCGTCTGCGCTAGCGTCAATTTTCTTGTAAAAAGAAGATACAGAGCATAATTTGTCCTAACTAATCTGTAATTCCGGCCAATGGTTGCCTACTCGTGTCTAAAATTATGGCTTGACATAAAATTAAGAAATTAATTGACTTTCGGGCCGATTTTACCTTTGGCTAATTGGTTTGTTGGTGAGTGTATACCTATTTTGTTAAGCGCATTTTGGAATTCATGGGGTATAATTGTCAGGTGGCGTTTTGACCAGAGCTTAGTCACAGTCCCGGATAGTCTAGCAGTAATAGAGTATTCGGTGTAGATTTACCTCTCTTAGAGCTGAACAGCCGTTTTGCTATTACTCTATCTAGACTTTATGAAAACAAATTTTTAAGAATATGGGACTGCATGTTTTTGCTTGTGTGCTTGCCTGATGTTGATTTACGTAAGGTATAACACTGGGTTTGAAGGATTGCGGAATTATTTTGTTGTGAAGAATTGTATTGTACTCAAGAATCCGCAACTCTCCCGAAATTTTCATGAAGCGAGTACGTACCTGAAGTTTCTTCTTTTAGCTTAGGTACGGCAGAGAGCTCAAATTTTTCTCTAAAGGGCTATATTATTTTTGTTTTGGAAAAGACTTGTAAGCTGATACATGCAACTTATCAGTTCTTCACCGCCATATTTGAATAGCTCTACCGGTAATCCATCGGTCACCGCCGCTTTGTTGTTCTTTAGGCGGGCGATTTCTATTCAAACTTCTTCATAGCCGGGTGATGGAACAACTCTTCCATCGTCTTCAATTGGAATTTCGGGCTCACCATCTCCACGTGTTTCATTTGGACTGCCATTCAGCAGCCTGAAGAAGTGTTCCCTTCATAAATTCAGTAAATTCTGGGCATTCGTCACTAGCTCACCTCTCTGGGTCATACAAGAGCGTGCTCCGGTCTTGAAACTTTCCGTAAGTCGCCGTATCTTTTCGTAGAATTTTCGAGCATTACTCTTGTCGGCCAGTTTCTCAAATCCTCGTACTTCCACACTTCGGTAGGTAGTTTGAAAGGCCGTCTCACAGTTCCCTTATACCGGGTTGCTTATGAGTGCTCTCAGAAAGCAGGTGTGAAAGTCGAGTAGAACACAGTTCGGCAGTCTGCTGTGATTGCAGCAAATTTAAGTACGTTTTAATTAACGATACTGCTCCCTTTTTTCTACTTCAATTTAGTTGGCCAATCACAATTCGCACCCAATGCCACTCCCACACTCAGTCGACTCTAAAATCTCGCTAACTCGAAAACCCACAGATTGCTTTTAGCGGCGATTATCAGCATTAATCCAGACTAGCCCTGTACCAATATACTGTTACCAACGTGGATAGAATGAGATTCGATAATGTGTCTTGCAAGACGAGCTCCTAAAAGTGCCGCTTTCAGCTCAAGGCAAGGTATGGAATGAGTGGACCCCAGTTTTAATCGCGACCATGGTACAGTTAATTGGTCTGCCGTAAGAATATCGGATATAGCACAATGCCGCACCGCATAGCTGATTTCACTGGCATCAACAAATGTATGCAATTTTATTTCAAATATTCTGCCAATTTCAAAACTTCGCATTTGGTTGATCGCCGCTGCTGGAGAATGAGGTCGGAATCCCAGTGCTTAGTGGAAACACGAAATTCGAAATGATCATTTTAAAGATCAACAGATAGCTCCTCAGACGCATTTTCATTTAGGGCAGCTAAAACTTAACCCGAGTTCGATAAAAAATGTCTTTAATTAAAGCCTCCCATCGCATGAACATAACGAACCTGTTGCGCGAAGTTAATAGCATCTTCTTCTGTATTCACGCTCACTAGCACAATATACCGTGACGCATCAGAACCTTCTTGCTGAAACTCTTTTGCATTATTCTTTTTTTACAAATTGGGAACAGCCTGGCGAACACGAGGCTCCGAAGGTCATTACTGTCATAACATTTCGGCAATATCGGCCGCATAGCACGGTCAGTAGAGGAGTCGTCCGGTCTGAACCCTTGAGCAAAACTCTTTTCAAGGACATTCCATCCTCCTTGACAGCAGCGTCCGATACTAAACGAACCTTTTCTGGTTTATTAATGTTGCTTACTGCAAAAATCGGTAAATAACAACAAATTGCAAAGGAAGTCACACTCGGCGTCAATTGTCTAGCATAACTCTTTTATATATAAGCATCAATCTTCTGTTGGAGAACTTTAGCCAGGATATGGCGTTTTTCTACGAAGGCAGTGCACGCGGAATAAGGCATTGGCAGGCTAATAAGTGGATGGATGTCCTCGGGTATCCACAAGAAGCCGACTTCAAAACGGGTTTCCAATCGAATGGTACGTTGTTGTAATTGTTTTAAAGCAATCTCGTCCCCTGTGGACAGCGGATTTGGCTGAAACGAAATTATCGAGTCAGACGAACGCTTTAGCTAATTGAAGTAGCTCAGATTGGGCACATGTAAAGCTACGACACCAATTTCAGTTTTCAGGCCTTTCAGTGTGTAAGGACCCCAGAATCCGATGATTTTGGAGACCTCACAACACACATCAACTTATCTAAAAATACATGGAGCTTAAATGAAATCATTGAAATTATAATACAAATATATATACATACATATATTTCCTTAATACTCTATTGAAATAATTGAAGTTATAGTACATATATATATATCTATATACAAATATTTACTTAATATTGTATAAATAAACTTACTTACTTAAATTATAAAAATTAAAATATAAAGATACGTTATATACATACGCTGAAGCCCATGAGCATGTTCGAATCAGCGATGGAGGTACGTAGACCCCGGAAACGCATGCAGACGATGCAGCGAAGGCGGAAATTTCGTCCACGGCTGTCGAAGCTCAAAGATGGAATTTTGTTGGAAGTGTGGACGTTGTGGAGTACACACCCGGCATTGCAGCCTAGATCTACAAGGAACCGACCAAGGGTCTCATCAGTATCGAGGGGTGGGGTCCACAACATTCCCTCGAAAACAACAGCAGCACTAAACCAGACACAAGGAGATATGTGGGACGGCAAGAACGAAATCCGTTAAGACACGAGTGGTAATGTGAGATGGAAGGCGCAAGGACGTCGAGGAAGCAGTAGAAGCAGCAGTTAAGTTGGGGAACGAAGTACATCACAGCGAGTTACTCATTCTACAAGACCTGGTCGATGAAATGGTACTCGGGACGGACTACCTAGCGAAGGCCAACACAGAGTTGAGATGCAGCGGAGAGTCACTAAGATTAAGGTTAGACAGAAGAGAAGGCGAGATAGTCACGTGCACCGCCATAGTTGAGAAGAGAGAGAAGGAATCCACGGTCTCAGAAGGCCCAAACCAAACCACACAACAAGAAGGATAAGAAAGTGAATGAGTTCATGCAAAGTGAGTTCAAACAATTCGAATAGATGTCAGGACTGTCCAATGCCGCCACACATAAAATAATCATGCGAGACGATTGACCAATTAAGCAGAGGTACTTCCCCAAGAACCCAAAGATGCAAGAAGTAATCAACAAAGACATCGACGAACTACTTGAGAAGAGTTACATTGAACCATCCTATAGTCCGCACAATGCACCAATAGTATTGGCAAAGAAGAAAAACGGAAAGTGGAGATTCTACGTCGACTGCCACCAATTGAATGCCAAGTCCGTTCCAGACGCCTACCCGTTGCCGCGTATCCAGCATATACTCGATCGGCTCAGAAGCGCTAGATTCATCCCCATGGAGGAGGACAGCAAACAGTACACGGCATACACAGTACCCGGACGTGGCTTCTTCCAATGGAAGGTAATGCCTTTCGGCCTAAACTCCGCACCAGCGACGTTCCGGAGGGCACTTGATAGAGTTATCGGCCGAGAACTAGAACCGCATGTATTTGCCTACCTAGACGACATCATAGTCATTAATACAACGTAGGAAGAGCATGTGAAACTTCTTAAAGAAATATTCTAGCGGCTAACAACAGCCAACCTCCGTATCAACCCCGAGAAGTGCGAGTTTTTTAAGAAAGAATTGAAGTATTTAGGCCACGTGATCAGCGAGAAGGGCATCCATACGGGCTCGGATAAGGTTGTGGCCGTAAGAGAACTCACACCCCTAACAAATCTACGAGTTAGAGGGTAGCGAGCGAGTTATAGCATATGCGAGCCGGATACTAAATAAAACCGAAGGCAACTACTCAACTACTCACCAACGGAGAAGAAGTGTCTAGCCATAGTCTGGGCAATAAGGAAAATCAGGCCGTATATAGAAGGGGACAACTTCACTGTGATTAGCAGCCACATGGCCATGAAACGGCTCAACGCGATCGAGAGCAATCTGGTCGGATAGCGAGGTGGGCGCTAGAACTCCAAAAATATTCCTTTGAAGTGCAAAACAGGAAGGGGAAGCTGAACATCGTAGCAGACGCGCTATCAAGGCAACCACAAGAAGAACAGTTGGGCACGGTGTTAGAGGAAGGGGAAAACGAAGACTGTACATGGCTAAAAGAAAAGAAGACGAAGGTGAAAGAAGCTCCAGAAAAGTACCCGGACTACGTGATCGAAGGAGGCAGTTTATATAGGCGAATGACGACCCAAGTCGATGGTGAAGATGTTACCGGTGGAAATTATGCGTGTCAATATCTCAAAGGCCACCAGTGTTAAGAAATACACGACGCCTCGAGTGCAGACCATGTGGGCATTCGTAAGTCCATAGCCCATGCGA